AGTTGCTTAGAATAGCATTCATATGAAAAGTGACATGGAGAGCTTGTGCGGTAGATGCGTGGAGTGCAAGCAAGACCTTCAGCTGGATTGTACACAACACTACCCATTCCATTGGCATCATGGATCGACATATCTATGGATTTTGTGTTGGGTTTGCCAAGATCTAGAAGAGGCCGAGACTCAATCTTTCTAGTGGTGAATCAATTTTTGAAGATGACACACTTCATTCCATGTCATAAACTGACAATTTAGTAAATTTGGTCGATTTGTTCTTCCACAAAGGTTGTAAGGTTGCATGGAATGCCACGTAGCATTGAGTTTGTTAGGGATGCAAAGTTCTTAAGCTACTTTTGGAAGACATTGTGGAGAAAGTGTGGGACGAAATACTTGTTTTGACGACTTGTCATCCTCAAACGGGTGGACCAACTGAAGTGGTGAATTGTACTCTGTCCCAAATGATGTGAGCAGTGATCAAAAGCAACATCAAGGTTTGGAAAGACTGCCTACCACACGTGGAGTTCGCCTATAACAGAGTTGTGCATATGAGGAAGGAGATATTCCACATCTAAGGAGATCCAAGTTGCTGCCGGTAGTTGTTGCCAAGTGTTGTGTACAATCCAGACGACTGCCTATATGAAAAGTGACATGGAGAACTTGTGTGCTAGATGCGTGGAGTGCAAGCAAGCTAAATAGAAGGTGCAGTCGTCTGGATTGTACACAACACTATCCATTCCATTGGGACCATGGATCGACATATATGTGGATTTTGTGTTGGGTTTGTCGAGGTCTAGAAGAGGTCGAGACTCAATTTTTCTAGTGGTGGATCAATTTTTGAAGATGACACACTTCATTCCATGTCATAAAACTGACGATTCGGTAAATGTGGTCGATTTGTTCTTCAATAAAGGTCATAAGGTTGCATGGAATGCAACGTACCATTGAGTTTGATTGGGATGCAAAGTTCTGGAGCTACTTTTGGAAGACGTTGTGAAGCAAGCGTTGGATAAAACTCTTGTTTTTGACGACTTGTTATCCTCAAACAGATGGACCAACTGAAGTGGTGAATCGGACTCTGTCCCAAATGATGTGAGTAGTGATCAAAAGCAACTTCGAGGTTTGAGAAGACTACCTACCATACGTGGAGTTTGCCTACAATAGAGTTGTGCATACGAGGAAGGAGAGATTGCACATCTAAGGAGATCCAAGTTGTTGCCAAGTAGTGAAGGTCCCTTTCAAGTGATTTCGAATGTTGGGAGTAATGCGTACAAGCTTGACCTATCAGAAGAATACGGGATAAGTGCAACCTTTAACCTTTCTGATCTTGCACCATTTTTGGATAATGATTCAGATTTGAGGGCAAATCCTTTTCAACAGGGACAGACTGATGAGGTCATCAAGAACAAGCCTGCTCAAGAAGACGACACAATGACTTGTGCATTGGCTAAAGCTCTAAGGGAGCAAATTGCAAGTTATTTGGGTCCACAACTGAAAGACATAATCGTGGCGCTACATGGAGGAAAGCCTATTACATTAGTATGATTTGTGGATAATAATCAAGAGAAGATGGGCTTAGAAGAAGGTAAGGAGGATTCGTCCTAGCAGGGTTGTCATGGTGGGAATGGAATTCCAAGTATGAACACAAGGGGGCGGATTTAAAGGCATGATTAAGGGGAGTTTTGACTTAGTCTTTTACTTGTTTGTTAAGGTTTTGTTTTCCTTTTTAGAGTAGAATTTTATTATCCTTTGTAGTATGGTTTTTTGGTTCTTAAGCCTATTTTAAGGGGCCGCACCATGGTAATAGACACATTCAGTTTTCGGTTATCAATTACATTGAGTATTTACTCGAGTTCTTTTGTGAACGTTTTCTTAAATTCCTTTGAGGATTGGAGGTTTGAGTGTCTCTTATCATCAAGAAGATCACATCTAGTTGTGGCGAGTTTGACTATATCGATGGGCTCTTCCCACATATTTGGGATTGTTTGATCGATTTCCATCCTCTTATTTTTCGTGTTATTCAAGAAAGGAGAAAACCCCAAAAGAGTTCAAAGTTGTGCTATTATGTTTTATTGGTCCAAGTTCGAGGTTCTCTTCGAATTAGGGTCATATCAAGTGGTATCAGGAGTCAATAATAGCACAAGGGAATACTCTAATCATATTAACATGCATGATTAACAAAATACTCATCTCAATTTGAACTACCAACCATACACAAGTTTCAAAATATATAGGTTGAAACTTTTGAAAAACGATTAGGAACTTGAAATGCTTTTACCATCTTTTCGACATACCCTTTAATCACTTTTGCCTTTAAAATAACATACTGTTTTTCAATTTTCTTGACTATTGTTTTCCTTTTTCATGTGTAGGGAGTTTTAATAGAGCATTAGACCATTATTAGTTGAGCAATATAAATTTTTGTATCTCTGTCATCATCAAAGTACTTCTTTCAAATCCTATATCTCAATTTGTGTGGAGGTCAATGAATCTACGCGGTGTCGAAAGCTTTATCTGTGTCCTTGAAAACACATCCTCAATTTGCATTTCCATTCATTGAGTGAAAATTTTACATGTATTGTACTATAGAGGATCTAGGATTGATTGAAAAGGGACACAAACTCAACTAGTATCTCTTTCAAAACCTGGTTTTGTGCATCGAATAGATGTCTCACATGTTGGACTTACCCACACTTTATTTTTGAACAATGCATGAAAAGTTTTTCAGAATATGAAAACACATCCTGAAACGTATGTTATATTTTTTCACGTTGGAGCTACCTTAAATGAATTTATGGTCACATTATTGATACTATGAGTGTTACCCTCACACCTACAATATTTTGAGAAGGCTTAATACCAAGAAAGGGCTCGTAGTTTAAGATTTTTGTCACTTGTACCTATATGTTCTCTATATGTAATTTGTGTTTCCATTTTAGTCTTCGTTAACTTTGACCCTTAATGGTAAAAAAACCAACTATTGGCCGATGATGTGTCACATGACATGCACCCTTTTGCCATGTTGCCCAGATTAAGCAAATGTGCAAGAAGCAAAAAAAAAAAAAAAAAAACCCCCTACAAACAGAGAGAAGCAGAGAGCCTTACTGCCAGATGATTACATACTCTTCCTCTCTCCAATGTTGCTTCCACGGCGGTCCGCCTCTCCCCGAATTTTGAATCCCTAAGCTACCCACTTCACTCCATGGCGAGGAAAAGAAGAGCTCGAATTCCTCATCAGGCTTCTATGCCTCGTTGATACTTCATCAATTGAAGACCTGTAGACCGCCGCAAAATTCCCATGGTGGTGCGATGCAATGATTTTTCGCGAGAAGTGGATTAGTGGAAGAAGAACGAAGAAGAGCCCAATCTCTTCTCCAGTCATAACATGTCATAAACCAACTGGTCCCAATAACTCGAGTTGTTGGGAGAGACCCATGTATGGTACTTAACCACTTCTTTACACTCCCCCTCAAACGAAAGCCGATTCATGGACTTGAAGTTTGCATAGACCCGTCATATCATGTGTTTGAAGACAACGGTTAATATTGGGGGCCGTGAGGACATGAACACGTGACATCAAGGACAAACCAGCTATGATATCATGTCATAAACCAACCGGTCGCAATAACTCGAGTTGTTGGGAGAGGCCCATGTATAGTAATTAACCACTTCCTTAGAGCATCCACATTGGTATTGCATTCTCAATTGCAAAATGACATGGCATAGGTGTTTGCAATTGCAAAACCAATTGCATTGATGTGGTTACCAATTGCATATTTGCAAGCTTGCAACAAATGCAATTCCATATGCAAGTAAAAAAAGCCACAAAAATGGGGATTTTTTATTTTATATTATTTTCTTTTCTCTTTTACTTAATTTTCTATAATTTAAATATAATATTTAATTACATTTGCAATTGCAAGTTAATTACATTGATGTAGGTGAATGAAATGAATGTGATGTTGATTGCAAAACATTTGAGTTGATAATAAAAAACACAAATGCAAATTCTTTTGCAATAGCATTGATGGTGATGGAGATGCTCTTACATAACACCAATAGCATAAACAACCCGCTAGTTCCCTCGGGCTGCTTGTGAGAAGGAAGATTCACATGACGTCCTCACAAAGCTGTCGTCATTTGATTACCCACCGTCGTCGTACACCAATCCCTCTATCGAGGAGATATTGACCAAACGCCGACAGTTTCTAAGCCCTTCCATATCTAACTAGATCTGAAGTTTTCAGCGATGAAGAAATCAGTGATAACAACGACAATGAAGGAAGAATGAAATCTTTGGCGGAGGTTGGGTAGGAAGACGAGAGTTTTTATTTTATTTTAATTTATTAATTACAAAATAAATAAATTATTTGTAGAAAATGAAAATAAATTTATTCTATTAATTTCAAATTATTAGTGTTGATGACACGAGGCATTTTCCAGGTGACACGTTGGCTGGACATCGTAGCTAGTCAAATGGACTTTGACCAACGTTTAGTGAACGATTAAATCAACCGTCAACGAGTATATTATTGACAGCACATCCCAATTCTATAGGATATTTTGACCGGTTAAAAAGTTTGGGACACAATTGACCCAAATTTTAAACTATAGGCTATTTATTGGTATTAGGCCTTTCCATACTAACAACTATAGGTGTCAAAACAGAACCCGATCCGAGCAACCCGCCCGTTTAACCCGACCCACAACCCGACCGCAACCCGAACGGACTAAAAGTCAACGACCCGTAACCCGCCCGACCCGTAACCCGATCGACCTGCAACCCGATCAACTCGCAACCCGACTAGCCCGCAACTCGATTAAACCGAATCCGAGTGACCCGCAACCCGATTGAACCCAAACCCGACTAACCCGCAACCCGATTGATCCGAACCCGACTAACCCGAACCCGCCCGATTAACCTAAATAATTACTATATAAATAATCTAGTCTTTCAAAATGAAGTTTTAGGTTATATGTGTTATGTTATACCTTTTAATTTGTGGTCTTATCCCTTTCATTCATTCTTGATTAAAACAGAAACATAAAGCAACCACATATACCATCGCCCAAAAACCAAACAAATGAAGTATGAACACAACCACAATCAACAAGCATCAAAATCAACACATAACATTCTACCAAAAAAAAAATCAACACATAACAAGACAAAACAATACCAAGCTTTGAACCGAGAAAAACAAAAACAAAATTAGACCTAACTGCTACAATATCCATCTACTCTTGAATCTACACTCTAGAGTTTCAGAGTTCCATCTTGCCTCTAGCAACTTGCAGTACTATAATGACCAATATGCTACTCCAACAATAATGCAATACTTGACCCGACTACTCTTCATCTTCTCGAGGTCCTGCTGCTGCATCGCATGCACTGCACTAAATTCTAAGTAAAACAAAGAGGAAAGAACAAGAGGTTAGCATGTCATAGATTCCACATGAGACGAATGAGTACCAACAATTAACACAGAGAAAGAAAGTGAAATTAACCAACAAGCTAAGTTGCATTTATTTACTAGTGAAACAAGTGGTAGGAAAATGCAGCAACAAACAAGAAACGCTAGACACAGAATAAGGAGATAACATCTAAATGACACTCCACTAGCTTATAATTAAGTAAATTCCATTTGAAAGCTAGATCACAAAGTTGGGCTCAAGATAGGGTGCATAACCATGGGTTATGCCAGGGGCGGAGCTACAGCATGTCTTGGGGGGGCCCCGGCCCCCCCGAGAATCTCGAAAGTCACGTATAAATAAGTCGGGATCGTGTGTACAAACTATAATTTATATATAAAATATAAACCGTGCAAAGTTAAGACATAAAGTTTCTTGTAGCCCAGCGGAAGATGAATTATTTATAACTCAAAGGTCTCGGGTTTGATTCCAAAGGGAAGTAGTTTATAGTTTTCCCCTAGGTTAATTACTTTTATGGTAGTTTACCTAAACTACAACTTCTCCTTCCTTTTCTTTTATAGTAAGCGCCCTAGGTTAATTACTTTTATGGTAGTTTACCTAAACTACAACTTCTCCTTCCTTTTCTTTTATAGTAAGCGCCCTAGGTTAATTACTTTTATGGTAGTTTACCTAAACTACAACTTCTCCTTCCTTTTCTTTTATAGTAAGCGCCCTAGGTTAATTACTTTTATGGTAGTTTACCTAAACTACAACTTCTCCTTCCTTTTCTTTTATAGTAAGCGGGCATTAAATAATTTAGTCATTAACTTTGTAATTTTTATTTTCCTTTTTAAATTATAGTTTACATCAATTAATTACCGCTTTTGCTTCTTGAAATATATTATTTTTTATTATTCTAATTTATAGTAAATATAATGTGAAAAATATTTTATATGGTTATAATAAAACAAAATTAGTATAAAAATAGATTTTTAAACCTAAATATTTTAATTATTAGTATTTTTTTTAGTCTTTTGCAGTAATGTATTACGAAATCCGGCCCCCCCGAGCACTAAATGCTAGCTCCGCCCCTGGGTTATGCATCCATCAATAACCAAATCTGAACCCTTCATTTAGAAAATCCAGATCTAAGGATGGAGAATTAAAGATCATTTTTATTTTCTTAAGCTTTCTTAATCGGCTCATATCTTTTTCGTTTTAACTCGGATTTTAATTTTTTTTGCACAGGTGGAACGAGTTTATCGTGCTCTACAAAATGAGAACAATTTTAAATATTTTTTTAGAACAAAAATTTCTGGCCTCTCGGTACCAACTGCATACCATATGGTATTTTCTTCGTTTTTAATTCGTTTTTGAAAACGTTTGCACAGAAGAGACGAGTTGATCATGATCTATTGTATCTACAAATTTCTGGGTGAACAAATTACAGGACCAAAAAATACCACACAATACCATACAATACCACCCTGGTACGGGGTGGTATTGTATAGTATCTTCTTCGTTTTTAATTCGTTTTTGAAAACGTTTGCACAGAAGGGACGAGTTCATCATGATCTATTGGATCTACAAATTTCTGGGTGAACAAATTACAGAACCAAAAAATACCACACAATACCATACAATACCACCCTGGTACGGGGTGGTATTGTGTGGTATACAATGTTAAAAGTCGTAAATGACAATTAATATACTTCTACTATCATGTATTCAACCATCCTATAGTCTTGGTTTGTTCATACCACCATGGTACGTTTTTCAAACCATAGGTATGCTTTTATTTCAATACTAGTCAATACCATATGATATAGACTGGTAAAAAATGGCTCAATTTTTTTAGTTCGAAAAATATATTAAAGTGTATATCATTTTGAAGAGCACAATTAATCTGATCTAACTGTGCAAAAAAAATTAAATTTCGACTTAAAATGAGTGAGAAATCGTCCGTCAAAGATTAAAGAGGGGAAAATTAAAGACTTTCCAGGAGAGAGAGGATGCTGATGTCATGCTGATGTGGGCTGGTTACTCATGGTTACTCACCGAATCTGCTCCCACAAAGTTGTATAGAGATAAGGAAACTAGTTCTTTCCTTATTAAAAAAAGGTTACATCAGCTCGCAAATAAAACAAAAGAAATAGATTTCATGCATGATTATAGAAAAAACGGTTGAAGAAAAAGTTTCAGAACTCAAATGATTTAGCTTAGTAATGATACAAAGTTCCATTAGCTGCTTAGTCGAGTCGGATTTAGTACCCTCTAAACTATGAAGTGAATGTTTAAGAAGGGAGCAGATATTCAAACTAATTGAACTTAAACTTAAAACACTCTGTTGTTCCTCCTACCTCTAGCTTTCCCAAACTTCCTTTCCTTTTACCAGGCATAGGGTTTATAGTGGTCTGAGTGGATGTGTTGTTACTCCTACCTCTAGCTTTCCCAAACTTCCTTCCCTTCGACCGATGGAAGAAACCACTAACTCCAATTAGCGGAAACGAAGATCGACCGATGAAACTGGACACATCCCAAATTGATTCCATTACTCTAGCAATTCCAAATGACCAAAGAAAATACCGACAAGAAATCATAATGGAAGAAGAGAACTAGAGCTCTGCGTGAAATTACCTCATCGTCAAATTGAATTGAACGATTCTGGACAGGGAAAGTGGATGCTTGTTGATACTAGATTTCATGGAGTTGGAACTTGAAGCCATATGATATGCGTCTTCTTATTGCTCTTACCTCCTTCCTTGAAATTAATCTCCATCGCAAACGCCGTTTGTTGGTGGGTGGAAGACCTAGTGGCAAATTCGCGAGTCGGAGAGTTTTTTGGGAACGAAGAAATTGGATTTCGCTAGAAAGGTAAAAGCTTGCTGCTCTTTTATTTTTGTTTTGTAAAAGAAATTGTAAGGCTAACTCCAATGGAGCCTCTATATTTGGGGGAAAGTTGGCTCCAATGGAGCCTCTATAAATGGAGGAGTCTCTATATTTGGGGGAGATCTCCAAAAGGATCCCCAAATTTGGGGGTGGAAATGGGGGTTCCCCCAAATATAGAGACTCCCCAAAGCCCGCCACGTGGCATTTCTTTTCTTTTTAAAATTTTAAGGGTTAATTGGGGTTTAATTAGGGGATTAGTTAAGGGTGTAATTAGATCAATAATTTTCAAGTGTTGTGTGTAAACCCAAATTAGATCAATCATTTTTTGTAAACAAAAATTTGGTCTCAAAATTAAAAAAATTTCTACCGGAAAATTTGTATTTAAAAATGATGACGAACTATACAAAAATCAACATGAACAAATTATATTAAGACTTCGATAAGTACATTTTTAAGTAAATGGAAAACTTAAAAAATAGAGATCTCCAAATATAGAGGATGTAGCATTGGAGCAAAAGAAGGGAAAATGGGAATGAACCCCAAATTTGGGGATGAAGATCCCCAAATTTGGGGGCTTGCATTGGAGTTGGTCTAAGAGCGGCAAATTTTAGGACTATGGAGCCAAATTTTTGGGGAGTAGAGGCGGGAGCAAATTGCGGGAGAATGAAACTGTTTAGGAGGAAATTTTTTATTTGATAAATCAAAAGAATCACAATTTTTTTTTTTTTAAAAAGTAACACTTAGTAAAAATTTTGCATATTTAAGTTGTGTTCAAGTTGACTTTTATTTCAAAATGGGTGTTAAACTTGCCTTGTTAAGTTTTACGATTGAAATAACTCAGTCGGGTTGCGAGTTTGAAAATTTTGGTTAATCGGGTTGCTGGTCATTTTGGAATGGAAAATGAGAGGGAGGTTTGGATGAGAACTTCAGAATAGAAAATTTATGGGCGGGTGAATATGAGCCAACAATCATACTAAACTTGATAAGTAATTTTTGATGGTTCGTTGTTTAGCATATAAAATATATGGTTAGGGTATAGGGTATAAGGTACAGATGGTTTAGAGTGTATATGGTTAGGGTATAAGGTATTGATGGTTTTGACGGTTCTAAGTTTTTTATTAACATATGTTCACTTGAAGTCATTTAAAATCTTTAATGGCAGGAGATTCATTTTTAATTTATGTTTATGGTACGTGGTTAGGGTACATGGTATATGATTTGGAGTATAGGATATATGGTGAGGGTACAACAAATATCACTGTTTTATCTATGTTTCGAAAATCAAAGTATGAATTTCACTTTAAATTAACTATACTAGCAAAATCACAACTCATAGGGATATATCATATATGGTTAGGGTATAGGGTAAGTTGTTAGTGTATAATGTATTGATGGTTTAGGGTATACGATCAACAACATATATTAACTTAATATTGTCGATTGAAGGTAATGCTAAGTGTATAGGATATATGTTATTGAGTAAGTTATGATTGAAGTCACAACAATTTTACTAAATTTGATAGTTAATCTTCAATGGTTCAATTTTTAGGGTAATTCGAACAATTTTACAAAATACTCGTTTGGCAACAGTTTACTGAAGTTATTAAAGCAATGTCTTATTTCGAAATAACTCCTTTAACCACTCTGCTTTTGCCAAATACCAGATTTTCATGGTTATACTAAACGAAATACTTTAATCCAATTACTACTGAAATAATACTAAAATACCAAATAAACAATTAATGGTGTCTTTTGGTTGCAAATGTTGATATAACCAATACTATTAGCTAGTGTCCTTTACCAATTACGATTAATTACATAACAAGTTTGCAAGTCATATAAATTTATTAGATATTTTGACTAGTCTTTTTTAAATTAAGTATATATACGAGGTAGAAAGAGATTGGTTAAAAATTGAGAAAAATATTTTAAATTAGTGTAATAAAACGTGTAAGTTGATAACGAGTAAGAAGTAAGTTACTCGATGCACTGACCCGAACAACCCGCAACCCGATCCGCCCGCAACCCGCCCGATCCGCCCGCAACCTGCCTGACCCGCAACCCGATGAACCCACAACCCGATTTGCCCGCAACCCGATTGAACCCGAACCCGATTAACCCACAACCCGTTTAAACCCGAACCCGATTAACCCGAACCCAATAAACCCACAACCCGATGAACCAGCAACCCGTTTGAACTCGAACCCGATTGAACCCAGCTCGAACCCGCCGATTGACACCTATAATAACAACCATTATTTCAAGTTTTTTGCATTCATTTTTTTCGGGCCATGGGTTACTACTACATTTGGTCTCTGGACCTTTGGTTTGGATAGCAAGAGTAGAAGGCCCAGGTTCAGATTAGAACGGTCGTTGGACTTTGCGTCTGCGGAACCAAACGTGCTGAAGCCGCCGAGAAGAGAAACCCTCTTCTTCTTTTTTTTTTTTTTTTTTTTTTTGTGCCATAAAGAGAAACCCTCTTCTCTCTGACTGATACTGTTAATTCATTAGGAAGGAAGGATGCTTGGTTGCTCTGACTCTGAGTAAAGAAAACTGAGCAGCTACCTACAAACAATACGATAAAGAATGATGCGAAACAAAAAGAAAGCCGGCGTCCTCAAACCGACCGATTCCGCCTGCATTCCTCACGACCAGCGGTAATACACTTTAAATCTAAGTTTATAGCTCGCGCAATGACTTTTGGTTTCTCGTGTTGATGGTATCTGGTGGGTCGATTTCGGATTCTGCAGTACCATTGAAGGGGAATCTCTGGCCGTCTTCCTCGCATCAATCCGCCGGTATATGATTTATGTTATGCCTTCTTTTCTCTGTTCGGTTGAGAAACCGTTACTGCGGCTGACAGAATGGTTGTTTGGCAAAACAAAGGGGGATAGAGTCGGCCAAGAAAGAGTTTGAAGGGAACTCGCTTCCTCAGAAATTCTGGTTCAAGGTTGAGATATCTCTCAATGGCTGGCCTTTCTCTGTAAGCTTCCTTTCATATCGTTGATTTTCTTGACAGTGGGTTGGTTGTCTGTGCGTTGGATTTCAGCAACAATTTGCGATTGGGGTGAACGAAGTGACCAGGGTACTGGAACGCATGTCACCAGCGGAGACGGAGACGGAGACGGTGCCCTCTGCTTTTTCTGGTTCGCAGAATCCTAAAGCGCCTTGTGTTCAGCTTCAGGTTTAACTGGCATTGCCATCATACTCTTCTTTTCGGTTTAGTGGACAAGCAAACCATGCCACAACAACCAAGATGGGAGAGGAATCGAAACCCCGATTGAATTCTGTTCTGTTCTGGTTGAATCAAGAATTTTAAATCAAACTTAAAACGGGTCCAGTTATTTATTTCGAATCAAACTTGAATCAGGGCGGAGCGCAACTGAATCGAAACTGAAATTCTTGATTCTTAGTTATCAAAGCGATTGTATTTTGGTCAGTCAGGGTAGAATATTGATAAAATTCTATTGGGTTTGCTTTGGTTAGGACAGGATCAGTATCCACCCCCTTGGTTAGAAGTTGTTAACATACAGTTTCTGTACAGCGATTACCCAACCTGTAATCTGCCTGTTACGAAAAGCTGATGCTCATCGATCTGTCCCTATTATTTTGTTTCAAACGTTCCTTGCTACGGTGGGTTGATTACTGTGGTGAACAGGCTGTGCTGGTGGCTTCAGATTGCAACCCCAAATGGCTAACCAAGCATCTTCCAAGCTTGGCTTTGTCGAGGAAAGTGCCATTGATCTTCATCAAATGTGATAAAAAGGGCGGTGGCTCCTTGAGACTGGGTGAATTGGTTAATCTCAAAACAGCCATTGCGGTTGGAGTCAGAGTAAGATCATCTTTTTGAACTTGCTTGTTTATTCATCCTTTTATTTTCTGCTTAGTGCACTTCATCATCTGGATTTTGATGTAGGCTAAGGGGAATGCTGTGAATCAGTGCATGGAGCCAATTCTTCCCAGCAGCCGCAGCAATGGAATCAGCAACAAAGCATAGCAACTGATAATGCACTCTGAATTAATGGACCAATGAAGGCGTGGATTCCTACAAAATCTGGAATCCTTTGGTTTGTTGTAATATTAAAGCTATTACAAACTTTTTGGTGGGCTTTATATTAAACCTAGTACAAAGAATCAGACTACAACAAGTTGCTGCAACTCTGCTCCTCTCTACACCTGAATTGGAAGCTCCTGCAATAGTTGTGGAGCCCGGCCTCAAGCAGTTGATGTATCGGTGCACCAACTGGATCTTTGTTCGACCATTCCCCACGAGGTTGTTTGTTCTTCCTTTGCCCCATCTTTCTTCACCAGCACTGGCTGCAACTGCTAAGTTTGGATTTCCCTAAACAAAATGCGTATGGAAGTGCGTTAGCAATCAACAAGGAATTAGGCTTTCCTAAACAAGGACCTCTAATTAGGGTTGGATTCTAAACCTGGTATGTAGAATATATGTCGATGCTTCTAACCCGAGCCATCTTATCCAAGAAGAGGTTGTACTTGGTAACCTTCAAGTTTATACTCGATCAATGGATCAAAACTCTGCATACCAACGTAGCCCTACTGCTTGCTGGACATACTTGATTGCGTGCAGGTGATCCTTCCACAACCTATCGATAGGTTTCAGAATCAAGAATATTTCAGCTTCCTTCATCAATCCTGGTGCTTGTTCCTCCACGGTAATCTTACAACACAAAGAGGCACCAGGAAAACCGAGCTTTTGTATAAAAAGTGAACCCTGCACTGCATGAACTTATCCACTTTCACAGCAAAGGCAAAATTCCCCACCCCAACCTACAACATTTTTCTTTTCAGTATGTACGCCTGCGACATTGCAGCCTCAGACAGTCTCTTAATTACTCGTATCGGGAACACTTGCTTGTCAGCAGATCTGTGATCAAATTATCAAATTATTCAATCAATACGATACCTAAAATGACAGAAAAT